ATTTCTTGAAAACCATAAATTATCAAAATTCATCCAAAAAATAGGCAACATTAACAGTCATACACCTAGTAAAGAAATCAAATTCATAGTTAAAAAACTTCTAAAAAAATTTGTAAGAATCAGTCCTACAATTATTTCAAACAGAAACTGTCATGGATTCTTAGAAAGAAAGTCACATAAATTTAAAGACTTTTCCTCTTTAACACATATTTGTATTCATTTGGTACTTTTATAATTCCAAATTTTAAAGTTAACCAATATGCTATAAAACAGACACTGATTTCCACTGATAGTAAAGGAAAAGAATACAACTATGCTGTATGCTACTCAATTTTTATCACTACTTCTTGATCTTAGCTTAGCTTATAAATTAATCAGAGATTACTTTGTATTTAGAGCCAGTGAATTACCAAACAGTAAGTCAAGAGTACTCTTTGAACACAGAAGGACAAATAATGTATTAGCTCATTATTGTAAAAAGTCATAGAAAGGTTTCTATATGAAAGGAAACTTTCTTTGTGGTTACCAGGAGTGGGAGGGGAGGGGAGGGCTGGGAACACTGCAAAAATAATAATGAAGCAAACATTTAAAAAAAAAAAAACCAAACCCTGCAGTTTCCTCTTTTCACTTAACGGCTCTTTGAAATCATTCCATATTAGTTCATAAGCTTCCTTATTCATTCTAAGGCCAGGTGTTACGGCATTACATAATTAAATACTTCTGCGCTGTTGTGGGGGGGCAGGAGGGAGTACTCTTTGAATAAGTACTCAAGGGCATATATAATCAATAAATGAGTCAATTCCAATTCATAGCAACCCTACGTGTTTCAGTATAGAACTGTCCTCCATAAGGTTTTCAATGGTTGATTTTTTAGAAGTAGATCGCCAAACTTTTCCTCTGAGACCTCTGGGTGGACTCAAACCACGAACTTTTTGGTTAGCAGCTCAGTGTATTATTAACCATGTGCACTACCTAGGGACTCCCAATGACATAATTACTGATGGTTGAATCCTATAAAGCAGGATACCTCACTATGTACAACTGAAAACCAAAAAATCAAAACTGTTGCCAATGAGTTAATTCCAACACATGGCAATCCTGGAACAGAGAGTGTAGTCCCCACAGGATTTCCAAAATATAAATCTTTACAGAAGCAGACTGCGTATCTTTCTCCCATGGAGCAGCTAGTGGGTTTAAGCTGTTGACTTACTGATTAGTGCTGACCTACTGGACAGCCGCCAGGCACTAAACCACTGCACCACTAGAGCTCCTATTCATACAAATGAAGTAACCCTTAAACCAAAAACCAAACCCACTGCCACTGAGTTGATTCTGACTCATAGTGACCCTACAGAGCAGAGTAGAACTGTGTCATAGGGTTTCCAAGGCTGTAAATCTTCATGCAAGCTGACTGCCTCATCTGTCTCCCACAAAGCAGCTAGCAGTCACTGACCTTTTTTGGTTAGTAGCCAAATCACTACACCACCAGGGCTCCTTAAAGGCTGTATAAAAATCAAGTACTTACTACTTAGATAATATATTGAAAAATGTTAGATAAGTATTATATGAGATTCAAACCAAAAACCATACCCACTGTCATCGAGTTGATTCCAACTCATAGTGACACCCCAGAGGTTTCCCAAGGCCATAAATCTTCACGGAAGTAGATTGCCTCATCTTCCTCCTGAGGAGCACTATACAGTTTGAACTGCCAACGTTCTGGTTAGCAGCCAAATCCCTTATCTGCTGCACCACCAGCGCTCCTTATCTAAGATTATGCCATACGAAATAGCCAATTATCATCCTAAAATGATATAAGCATTTCTTGTTTTGTATATGAATCAGTGTTCTCAAGTGTGCCAGTCTCTTCTACCAGAATGGTATTATAATGAATTGTATTGGATGTTGGGGAATGAAGTTCATTCAACATTTACCAAGTGTCTTGGTTCTCTAGTACCGCCATTAACAGAAAATACCACAAATGGATGGCTTTAACAGGAATTTACTATCTTACAGTTTAGGAAGCTAGAAGTCCAAATTGAGAGTGCTGGCTGTAGGGGCTGGGTGAAGTCCCTTCAACTTTGGGCTTCAGCTCTGCCTCTTATTCCAGGACCACTAGAGCTGGAAGCTTCTCTTACCTCAGGCAGCTGCTAGCTGCTGAGGCTGACCAACCCAAGGTCACCAAGTAGAATGGCACAATCCCAAGGCACATAGCAGACCACAGGTTCAAGTCCAAGAACAATCCCAAGATTGGCAGGCAACACAGCAGGCCACTGAGATCAAGATTTGGCTAACTGCAGAATACAGATGTGCCAAAAAGCTAGAGATCTTTCCCAAAGCTTCTCCTTTTAAACTGAACGCAGACTACACTCCAAAGGCAACTACTGAGCTGCTCACAGCAGAATCTACCATAAAGGTGATTACAACCTCATCATGCGGAATAACTACATCCAGCTGCCCAGTCACTCAAAAACATGGCCAAGTTGACACACAACCTCAACTACCATACTAAGTATGTTCTGAAGATTTTTCACAAGACGTTATTTGCAAATCTAGGATCTGAACATGTACTAGGAAAAGAGTATTTAACATGATACAGAATCTTTGCAAATTTTACTTCTACTTTTCAGGGGACTATTATTTTTAATTCTTAAAAGTTTCTCTATAGAGATAAGGATTGATACCTGTCAAGGCTCAAAACATTAAAGTAATAATTAAAACCTACAGAACACAAAATTTTTAAATTCACATCATTCATTTGCTCAAAACTCTTTTAATACTTTAATCTCACTGAGTCAAAGTCCTTATTATAACCTACAAGCCATTTCTCACTCTCTTCCTGTCTCTACTCCAGCCACCTTTTGGCCTCCTTGTTGTTCCTCAAACATGACAAGCACACTCCCTCCTCAAGAGTCTTTGCAATAACTGTTTCCTCTACCAGGACTAGGAGACACTGGGTGGTACAAACGATTAAGCACTTGGCTACTAATTGAAATGGTGGTGGTTCAAAACTACCTTGGAGGACAGGCCTGATGATTTAATTCTGAAAGATCACAGCCATTGAAAACCCTGTGGAGTACAGCTCTACTCTGAAACACAGGGGGTCACCGTGAGTTGAAATCAACTTGACAGCAACTGGTTAATAACAGAAATAAAAGGGCATTGGTGGTTCATTAGAATTCTTGCCTCCCACACAGGAAACCTGAGTTTGATTCCTGGTCAATGCAGCTCATGCACAGCTAGCACCCATCTGTCAGCACAACCGTGTCATCATGATGCTGAACAGATTTCAGCAAAATTTCCAGACCAAGATGAACTAGGAAGAAAGACCTGGAACTTACTTTCAAAAATCAGCCAACAAAAACCCTACAAATCACAACAGTCCAATGCATGACCAATTGTGGCAGTGTTTTGTTCAGTTGTGTGTGGGATTGCCATGAATTGGGCGTCAGTCAGCTCAGCAGTTAACAACTATCAGGAATGCTCAAAGATATTCACGAGTCACTTCGTTTCCTTCAGATGTCTGCTTAAATGTCCTGTTTTCCAAGTGTCCCTAATACAAGCCACTGTATTTTCCCCCTATTTTATGGTCTGTTTGCCCCAACAGAATATAAACTACAAAGAGGAGAGGCCTTTGTTTTATTCACTGCTATATACCCAAAGCCTGTTGTTGTTGTTATGTGCCGTCCGAGTCAAACCCGACTCATAGCGACCCCTCCTTGGGTTTCCGAGGCAGTATCACTACGGAAGTAGGATTGCCCAACCTTCCTTCCGAGGAGTGGCTAGTGGGTTTGAACCGCCAGCCATCTGGTTAGCAGGCAAGTGTCTTAGCCACTATGCTACCAGAACTCCCTAGAACAGTACAAAACCTCTCAAGAATCTGAACAAGATGCTGCACAAAGGTAGTATGTTGTTGTTGTTATGTGCCATCGAGTCGGCCCCGACTCATAGCGACCCCTCCTTGGGTTTCCGAGGCAGTATCACTACGGAAGTAGGATTGCCCAACCTTCCTTCCGAGGAGTGGCTAGGGGGTTTGAACCACCAGCCATCTGGTTAGCAGGCAAGTGTCTTAGCCACTATGCTACCAGAGCTCCCTAAGGTAGTATATATGCCTCCAATTAAAACTTGTCACTACAATGAAAAAACCTAAACAACCTTACACTCTGCTCCATAGAATGAAACAACTAATTTTGCTTCGGAGAAAGTATTTTATTTTTAACAAAATATACTAATGAATGGCTAAATACTCTAAAGGCAAATCATTAATGTTAACTGCATGCATGCTGAAATTGTTTCTATGGAATGCTCTGGTTATCACACAGCCATTTTACTACGAACCAAGAAATTCTGGCTTTAGATTCTTAAGGGGAAATAGAGGCGGGGTTACCATATTAAGGACTTGTTATGTGCCGTCGAGTCCGACCCAACTCATAGCGACCCCTCCTTGGGTTTCCGAGGCAGTGTCACTACGGAAGTAGACTGCTCAACCGGCCTTCCAAATAGTGGCTGTTGGGTTTGAACCGACAGCCTTCTAGTTGGCAGTCAAGTGCCTTAGGCACCACGCTACCAGAGCTCCTATCTAAGGACTAGGGAGCATAAATTAAACGAGTCCAAACCTCAAAGTACAGAGAGCAAGATACAAAAAACGAGAATCGACAGTGTTTGCCTCCTCGAAACGTTAGGAGGTTAAAAACAAACAAAAAAAGTCCCAAAAGGATTGTACCCCCTTTCTTGGCACCAGGCGGGGTATGAGCACTCAGTCTGGAGGCGCAAGGGGGCGTGGGGTTTGAGAGAATGAGGCCAGAACTCCAGTAGGGTAGGGATGGAGACCCGCGGGACACCCTCCTCCTCCATGGATTCTCTCTGGAGGAAAAAAAAAAAAAAAGTTGACTGTGTCTACAGGCTCCCTAAAGGATGGGGGGAGGGTTGATGAGGATAGATCCCTCCACTTCACTCAGGCAAGCCCAAGCCCCAGAAGGGCTTCCCAGTTTTCAGCTCACCCGGCTCCCGGTTGATCTCGATGTCGAAATGGCACTGCGGCCGGTCCTGCGCCCCCATCGCGACCGAGGCGGCGGCAAGAGCTGGGAAAGAGGAAGAAAGCAGTCAAGGCGGAGGCCGTGCCAGGTCGCCCCGCGCCGGCCCCTCGCGATAGAAGGGCAGGCCAAAACGGGGGCCCTCTCCCGCCCGGACCTCCCGGTCCCCTAGCAGTGCGCACACACATGCGGCCGTGCTTTTCACCTGGCTGGCCTCCAGCCTGAGGGGCTCCTTGTGAGCAAAGGAAAATGCACTGCCACCGCGGCTCTCAGAGCCCAACGCCAATAACGGACCGCCACCCCCTCCCCTGGCCCAGCCTCCAGGTGCCACGCCAAATCCCGCGAGAGTAAGAACAAATACCGCGAGAGCACGATTTCCAAGAGGTGGTTAACCGAAGGGGGCGGTGGGGACTCGCGCATGTGGGCGTGCTTGGGTGATGTTGTGGAGACTCCCTCTGGGCCCTTCTATACCTTCACTGGTCTTTTGTGCCAGGTCCCGGTCCCCACTGGAGACCGACGCCCAATCTGAGGCCCTTGGTCGCGCCTGCGCTCTCTACCGCATCTTGTCCTTAGGGGCTGTGAGCGTCCCGGCACTTCCCGATATCGCGAGGCTTCCGTGCTGGGCAACTGTGACCTACTGTTGTTGTTGTTGTTGTTAGGTGCTGTGGAGTAGACCCAACTCATTGCGACCCCGCTTTGGGTTTCGGAGGCCTTATCACTACGGAAGTAGATTGCCCAACCTTACTTCCAAGGAGTGGCTGGTGGGTTTGAACCGCCAGCTTTCTGGTTATCAGTCACATGCCTTAGTCACTACGCCATCAGGGCAATTGCGACAGAGTGTAAATTAAGTTGAGATTTAGTAAACCAAGGTAGATTATTTTCTCCTCCCCCCAGACACACACACACACACACACATACACACACACGTGGAGTAGCTATGAAAAGTGTCCTAATGTCACACAGTTTGCTTCTCTCCAAAAGCAGTGTTCTCATTAGATGGAGGTGTTCTTATGTTCATATGCTTACTGGCCGTTCTACATTTTCTGATGTAAGTGCCTCTTTCAGGTGTTGGCTTATTTTTAAGCGGGTCCTTCGTCATATTATTGAGTGTAAGCATTCGTACATGTTTTAGATACAAGTTCTTTGTTAATAATATATGATTGTGAATATTTTCACCCAACCTGGGTCTCGCCTTCATTATTTTGATGGTGGCAAAGCAATGTTAATTTTGATTAAGTCAATTAATTTTTTTTTTTTCCTTTTTTTTTTTTACGGTTTGTGCTTTTTCTTTGCTAAGAAATCTCTTGCCTACCACAAGCTTGTGAAGAAATTTATCTTTTCACCTAGTTTTCTAGTTTTACTGTTTGCATTTAGGCTTGTGATCTATTAGAATTAATTTTTGTGTATGGTGTGAAGTAAGGGTTGAAATTCATTCCCACCCCCCCATAGAGATAACAAAAGGAGCACTGGTGGCCTAGTGCTTCAGGCATTTGACTGCTAACCAGAAGATTGGTGGTTCAAGCCCATCAGCCACTCTGCAGAAGGAAGGCTGGACAATCTACTTCCCTAAAGATTTACCACCTCAGTAAACCAGAGGAGTCGCTGTGAGTTGGAATTGACTCGATGGCTGTGAGTTTGGTTTGGTTATAGAGAACACAGTAGTTCCATCACTATTTGTTTAAAAGACTGTCTTTTCTCCATTTAATTACTTTAGCTTTTTTATGTGTGCATTTATTTCTGGACTCTATTCTGTTCTATTGGCCTATATGTCTTATCTTTATGCTAGTGCCACATTTTTTATTTGTAGCAGTATAGTAAATCTCAAAATCAGGTTTACTATGTTCTGAAGTGTTTCCAAACCTGTGCTACCCGTTTATAAAGCACAGTCTGATCATTGGCGTTCCACATTATCACAGAATTGCTATCCCTGTCAGAGCATTCTTGTACTACCTCCCTGAGAGGCTATTATCTCTATCAAAGGAACAGCTTCAGGATTTTAACTTGTAACCTAGATTGAACTGGGAAACTAATGATCCTAGATCTAATTTTTTGTTGTTGTTGTTATTTGCCATCGAGTCGGACCGACTCATAGCGACCCCTCCTTGGGTTTCCGAGGCAGTATCACCACAGGAGTAGGAATGCCCAACCTTCCTTCCGA